TCCTAAAACTGGATTGTGGTGATGGCTGCACAACTGTATAAATTTACTAAAAGTCATCAATGTATATCTTGACAATAGGTGAAGTTTTGGGTATGTAAATTATACCTCAGTAAAAATGTTTAAAGGAAGAAAAATGGTTGACTAACAAACTAGTCACATATGCCTTCCAGTTGGTTGAGAGGGGGCATTAAATGCCACTATAGATTCATTCATCTATTCATTTACTCATTAATTTGACCTCCCATATTTCTGTCTGTTCATTTGTGCATCCATCTATAAGCCATCCTTCCAACCGTCCTTGTGTGGGAAGCTCTTGGTTCAGAGAAATGGATTAGACGTAGACCCTGACTTAAAGAAGTTGGAGTGATTAAAGTTAGGATTCTTTGTTAAAAATGTTTGGAATTACCTAGCAAAATATATATATTTTGAGAATGAGAAGAAGCCTAAATTATAGTCTTTCTGAATCTACACATACAAAAAGATACCTTCTTTATCCTTTGCACTGTAGAATGCTTAGGAATTTGTTGATCTTGGGAGGACAGTGGAATAATATAGTGATTAAGAACCCTGGCCTCAGACAGACCTGGGTTCTGGCTCTGTGTACTTTCCACAAGTGCACTAACTTGTCTGAGCTTCAATTGCCACATCTGTAAAGTAGGGATAATCCAGTTTCATAGGGTTGTCAGTAGAATTAAAAGGGATAATGCATGTAAACACTTAGCCGAGTGCCTAGCATATAGCACATTCTCAATGAATGTTATTGTTTTCGTTACATCTGTGCCAGATTATTTGAGGTTCTCCAAACTTACCCTTCTTCCTCAAGGGTTGGGGTCTCATTCCTCCCACTAGGATTTGTGTCTCACCCTTTCTCACATTTCTACCTATGATGAACCCAAGGTCGAGTTTTGCATCATCTAGAAGTGATTTCTCCTTCTCTGAAACACTGTGATAATTTCTGCTGCTCACAACTCATTTAACATAGGTTACCTTTTATTTATGCTGCTCTTGTATTTGTCTTATCTACCATTAGAGTTTTGATTTCCTCATGGGCAGAGACTATGTCTCAGACATCTTTGCCCCCAGAAGCTTGCATGGTCCTCCAGTCCACAGAGTAGGTACCCCATAAATATTGAGTGAATGGTTATTCAGTCATGCAGAAAGGCAAGTGGACACTGAATAAATATTGCTTGAATGAAGGCCTGGATTAATTAAAAAACATGCATTTTTGGCACAATGGTCAGGCCTAACCAAAGTGGATTTGTGGTTAAGTTTTTCCATGGGCCCGTCACTGTCCTTGAAATACCATTTACCCAACTCTCTGCATTGTGAATTGACGTGGCACGTGCTCGATAGAGAGAGACGCATTGGGAAATCAACGGTGTTTGAGGGGCTTTGTTCTAGCCTCTCAAATGCTTGTGGAAAGAAGAGGACAGTTGCAGTCTCCTGGAAAGAACGACAAAAGAAGATTAGACAAAGAATACATGTAATAATGGATGCACATGTGACATTGAGTCAAGCTTCATAATGAAAGGAAGTGTGACAACTTAATTATTGATCAGTTCTGACACTGGGAGGGAAGTCGGGCACTTTCTCTGCAAAAAGAGCTGTGATGCCTAAAAATTGTCCCTTTGGTAGCAAATCATCAAGTACTTTTAGTTGTAATGGTTATTTGATAAGTCTTTCAAGCCCGTGTAGAAATGTTTTTGACTGAGAGAGGCTTCAGATTTCCAACAAGTTAAGTTCTTGCTCTGATTTTGATTGGGGCGATCACCAGTTAACAGGTCACAGGTAGTGAGGCTGGATGTGATACTGTGCTCACCGAGGCCTATGGATCCACTCTCTAACGTTCCGAGGAGCAACTGCTTCTTTCACTTTTTACCCCTAGGTTTTGCTATCTGAGAGGATATCTGATGGAGAGAAAAGTAAGTGGAGAGAAAAGTACGTGGACCTTGGTGTTCACCAGACCTAATTTAGACCCCTGGCATCTCCACTTATTAGCTAGGTGTTAGTGAGTTTGAGCTTATCTTTTCTTATCTTGAAGTTGAGGATAACAGCACTATCAAGTTATTCTGAACTTTAGTCATTATTGTCAACATTGTCATTATCGTAATCATTATCATTCTTATCATGGTGGCTAACATTTATTGACCTCTTAGTATGTATTTGGAATTGTTCTAAGTGCTTTACATGGATTAGCCCATTTCACTCTTTCCACACACGTTAACAAAGTATATAATATTATTATCCCCATTTAAAACATCTAGCATAATGCCAGGCATATTATAAGTACATGAATTTTATTATTATTTAATAATAATCATCTTTTAGACTAAGTACAGCCTAAATACTATTGGTTTTAAAATTCTATTTCAGAGAAAAATTCTAGAATGTCATTACTGAAAGGAATTTAACTTAGACTTTATATAGTTCAGTGATGTCTGTATTTTTTAAAGCCAGAAACTGTTGTTCACAGGATCAATATGTCAAAAATATAAAAGCAGAGTTGTTCGATTTGAATCAGGGGTAGGGACTTGAGCCCTACCTGACAACTCCTCTGTGTCCAGGACTTGGAAGAATAGTTTGAAAATCACCGATGTCCATTCCCAGTACACATACCTAGATAGGCAAAGTGATTTATTGTGCTTATTAGCTGCAGACTCTGAATTAGAAATTAGATCTCCTGACTCCAAGATTCATTGTTTTTTGTGAGACCACAATATGTGATATAGCAGTACAATTATTATTCATATACCTTATCATATTTGAACTTAACAGCTTTTGTGCTAGGTATAAACTATTCCTCCTAGTTCACCTAAAAATGCTGTGTAATATGTATTTTTTTGTTGAAAATTTGGTGGAGCTGGTAATAGAGTAAGAGGAAAAAAAATTAGACACCAGAAATATTGAAAAAGAATGATTTCATTGAGATAAACAAGGATACTGGAGTTGGCATTTCCCCTGAGGGCAATTTCTACTCCCTAGTGGTAGAATCTGGCTTCTAATGAACACTGTGTAAGTAAACAGGAGACAAAGCCTGGGGCTGGTGTGAGATGCATAAATCAAGAAGCTTGAAGGGTGAATCCTCAGTGGGTGACTAGGAAAAAATCCCCTCTGCAAAAGGAGACTTGCCTGTCAGTCTTAACTCTAGGTAGGAGGCATGGTGGAGAAAAGTTTGCATTCCTGAAAGCTTAGGGCCTGAATTTATTCTACCTGTGTGGCTCAACCCTCATGCCCCAAGGCTAAATGTAGTTTCAAGTGATCTTGTGTTGATAGTTCCCTCAGGCACCTAACAGAAGCAAACACAAATCTTCTCTGAAGAAATGCAATTTTAAAACCCAAACCTCAAATAATTACCACAGATTAAATTCCAAAAAATATGAGCTCATGAAAGAATTACTCAAAACACAAGAAAATAAGTCATCACCCATGATTCTCAGCAAAACAACAGAAAAAAAATAAGTGAAATTAAAAATGATGTGGATGACTGAAACAGAATATGACACAGCTCAAGAGAGAATAAGCCAAAAGATACATCTGGAAGTGACACAGAGTTCAGCATAGACATGGAAATATGAAAGCAAGTCTAAGTAACATGGAGGAGAGCTTAAGAAGGACTAACATTGATCTAAGCAAAATTTCAGAGAGAATAGAGAAAATGGTAAAGAGAGAATGTTTGAAGCGATAATACTTGAGAATTTTCCAAAGTGATGAAAAGTTTAATCAGTCTTCAGATTCAGGAATCTCAAAGAATCCTGGGAAGAATAAATAAAAATAGACACCTAGACACCTCAGAGTAAAATTAAAAATACAAAACAAAACAAACCCATTAATTAACCAACCAACCAACCAAACAAAAAGATCTCAAAAGCAGCCGTAGAGAAAGGGTTTGTCACATACAAAGGAATGATTGTTAGGTTAACAACTGACTTCTCAACAGAAATAATAAAAGCCAGAAAACAATGGAATAATATTTTCACAATGTTGAGAGAAAATAACTGTGAACCCAGTAAAGCTATTTTTCGAGTATGAGGGTGGTCTAAGGAAGAATTTAGACAAATTAAAATTGAGCACCATTAATATCAACATATCTTCAGTAAAGGAACATCTGAAGGATACTTTAGGAAGAAAAGTAATTAGCCTAGAAGGAACATCTGAGATTCATGACAGAATGTTGGACAAAGAAATGTTAGACGTGGTTAAAAAAGTGTGCACCATAAAACATGTTCAAGAATGTTTCTTGCAGCATTGTTTGTTATTCAAGATCTGCAAATAACTCAAATGTCCATCCCTAGTATAATGGATAAAATGAATTGTGGAATATTCATTCTATGGAATATTATACAGCATTGACATATACTGAATTAGAGCTACAGGTATTAACATGGATGAATAGAAAAAGTACACCATAGAGGAGATGTACAGTATGATTTTATTCATGTGAAGCTCAAACGGACAAAATGAAATGGTCTATTATTTAGAAATAAGTACCTATAGATAGTAAAACTATAAATATATACAAGGGAATGATTAACACAAAATTCAGGATAGTTATCTCTGATGGCTAGGAGGGAGGTTCATTGGGGAAGTGTCATCGAGGGATACTGATACTCTTCTGGCTGTATTCATTTTATTTTATAGATTCATATATATTCATTTTATATGTTATTTCCTATGTATCATAAATTTTGCATTAAAACAATTATAAAAAGACTAGTCATTTAAGAAGGTGGAATAAAGAGGATTCAGGATCAGCATGGATTAAAAGCCTTTAGGAAGGAATAACTTGAGCAAATTTGAGTATTAAGGAAAAAAATCTCAAGCATAGGGTGGTCCAAAGTTTCTTATTGCTACTCTCCCACCACCTTCCTAGCTTACCCTTGCATATTGCCAAGGTATGTTTTCATGCATAGTGACATACAATAAAAATGTTTCATGCTTTATTATTTGGAAGTCTTTTATTCCCTTCTTTCTAGATGTAAAATTTTATTGGCTTCTTCTAGGTCATAACTTTTGTGCAGAAGGACCTAAATGTGGTGAAAACTCAGAGTGCAAAAACTGGAATACAAAAGCTACTTGTGAGTGCAAGAATGGTTACATCTCTGTCCAGGGGGATTCCGCCTACTGTGAAGGTAAGTAAGCTATTTAATGAAGTCGCTTGTGAGAAATGTATTCCTGGTAGACGTGGTTGAAGACTGAAAGCCATCGCTTGGCTCTGGTCCTATGGGATCCTACAAGAAATTATCTCAACTACCTAGGGTACTGTATTCTCTTGGTTTATCCAGGCTGCTTAGTAGCGTGTGAAAGCAAGATCTTTGAAGGTAGTTATGAAACACAGCAAAGCAACAAAAGCAATAGGGCCATATTAGATCCCATGTTCTGCTGTTACTGTATTTGTCAATCACCAGCAAAACCGTAAACACATCATTTTCTGTTGCCTTACTTGAGTAGATTGTCATCTCTAAGTTCAATTAAATGTTATGTGGTGGATCCTCTTTTTGAGTGATGCTTTGATGCTAGCTTCTATCAAACTGCTATCTTCTTTACCTGCCAAGAATTTTTTTTCAGTTGGGTTTCTTACTGACTGATTCATGGGTTGCTAATTCCCAAACTCTACTAAAAGTCACAGTGACAGATGGACTCATAACTTTGGGACATGGACTGATGCCATTATAGTGGGTTGGTCACCTTAAGCATCAGTGACCCCCTTTTCCACTCTGGAGAGCAGAACAATTCCTCTGTTTTGTGTGAACACCTCTTTCCAAGCTCAGCACTCTACCTTGCTGGTGGCAAGCATTGCACCCTCCTGCTCCTCTAATATACGGGAGGAGCAGGGATTAGCTCTGACTCTGGTCTACATATATAGTGCCTTATTATCTGAGGCCATCCCTTTCTCAGGTGCTCACTGGCTCCCTCCCATTAGTTTAGAGAAGTTCTACTAGGCAAAGTGATGGCTAGCCTGTTTCTCTGTCCCGATTGGACCCAATCATTCCTGCCGTCTTCACTAACAATATATTGAACCTTAGTGATCTGTTAATCAAGAAGGCAGATGTCTTGAATGGAATAAATGCTGCAAAATCTCAGTCACTCTCCTCCAATTGGTTTGGTTCTCAAATGCGTCAGGTATTTTCAAGTGTGTTGGGTGTTCTCAAGTGTATCAGGTATTCTCAAGGTAAAGAGAATTGATGACAATAATGGTAAATTCCTTTCCATTCTGCTGTTTTATCTCATTGACCCCTGCTTAACTATTTGGCTTTGAGTAAAGACCGCTTCAGTTGTTCAGGAAAGGTGTCTAATCACTACTAGTGCCCAGTACCTGTAGGCAACCTCTGTTTTTCACTTCTGCTGGACGACTTTCTTCATTACTGCTTTGGTTCTTATTAGCAATGTGGTCTAACTAATGGGGTTTTTTCCTCTCTCCTTTTCACCTTTTTTTTTTTCTTTGCTTACGTTTATGGATTTGAATTTGATTAGGGAGACACGCCACTTGGAAGGATGAAGTTGCCCCTTTGGTTATGAACCTTCTCATCTACGATTTAATATCATGGTGCTTGTTATCAGTTTTGGAGAAAACAGCTATTAATTTCAATACTTTACACTAATTTTTTTTTTATATCTTATGCTGTTTTTTATTTTTTGTCAGAAAATTCATGTAACTTTAAAAATTAAAAGTGTGAACATTCTCTTCATTTACCATGGAAAAATCCTATAAGCCAGGCAGTGGTCTAAAAAATTTACTTTCTTACTTTCTACTCTCTGTGGGGATAGACTATGAACAATTATAAAAATGATAAAATCAACCTCAAAATAATTTGAGTCCTGATGCTGCCACTGGCAGAACTTTTAGTTGTCCATTGGAACTAGTACAGCCACCATTCCCTCCTCCCCTTAGCTATTGAGACCTGGTGGAATCTGGGAGAAAATTGCTGGTGTGAACGCTATTTGGGACTCTCTGATTCTCTCCTCATTGATACCATTTTTTATTACATAGAATCAACTCCATGAGGAACTATTTGTGATATTAAACCTGCCATTTGTGTGTGAGGCCTTATTTTATTGGTTATGTGGAACGATTTCAGGTCTGAATCCCTGTTTTCTTGGACGTACTTTTCAGCTCAGTGCTGATGCCTGGCCCTGGGCCAGTGTGCGCTGTGGCGCCACCTCGAGTAATGGTGATGTACTCACGCTCCAGTCGTTTCTCTGTTATTGTGGAGACTTTCCACAAGTTCCAGAGGGCTCGTTCACGGAAAGGAGGATAGCACTTAAGAAGAAATGGCTAAACATTAGAGCCTATTTAGGGTATAAGAATAGAGCTCAGCGAGTAAAGCAGGGGTGAAATACTGGCATCTGGAGGGAGGCACCAAGAACCAAGTAGAGTGGATATCAGCAGTTAGAGCAAATGCTCTTCTTTTTTTCCATTCTTCCATTCTTCAGCATGTTGGACTTTGAGCTCATTTTCCTATGGGTGCATGATGGCTGCCATGGCCCCAAGCATGGTGTCCTCACACCAGCATCCCAAGCAAGGAAGAAAGGATGAGACAGGGGTTAAAAACCTTCTCTGTGTGAGGTTCTGTCCTTTTATGTTTAAAGAAAGTCCTTCCTAGAAGGTCCTCCCTAAGCATTCTGCCCCTTTTCCCATGTAGAAGATTTCCACTATCTTATTTTTCAGATCTGGGTTACATCCTCCCCACCCCTAGATCAGTGTTTGGGGAAGGGAAATGAGGTGGCTGTCACTGGTTTGGGCTAATTGTGTCCATCCTCTGGAGCAGGGGCAGAGGTTTGCCTTCCCTGAGACCAGATGATCTTCCCCTTTACCTGAATTAATTAGAGTTGTGGCAACAGGAAGAGGGTAGGAGTGGTTTTGGGTGGGCAAAAGGCCATGTCTACTCCATTCTTTTGTGGTTAAACTTAGTTCATGGCCAATTCCCAAGATCTTTCCTAAGAATTGTCCTCTGGGGTGGTCTGATAGACAAAAGGAGAGGTCGCCAAGCACCCGCCTGGGTCCCAGAGACTCTCAGAGGCTGAGTTCGTTGTCTCTCCATACCCCAGAGAGAACTAGATACTTAGGAACTGCTTCAGGCAAGTTATTTTTTTACTCTGAGTAAATGGAGTGAAAATGACCCATATTATACAAACCACAATGAACAAGACTGGCTTGCAAATTAAAACAAAATATTATACACATCGTCCAGGCTATCTTGAAAAGCCTATTCAGGCTCTCAGTGGAAAAAGAAGCACAAAGGCTTTCAATTTTCTTAACTTCCTAGGGTAGCAGCAGAGGTACAGTGTATTAAGGACTCCTGCTCTGCAGAGATTGCCGTAGAAACTGCCGTAGAGAAGGTATCGGAACTCCTAGCCAATCAATAGAAGATAATAAGACCCTTTGTCAGCTGTGATACAATTCACAGGAGGTCGTTTCATTTTGCTTCATCTGACTCAAGCAGGAACATTCCCCACTTGAAAACTGCTGTAGTTGGATTTTGGTGTTTTATGAATCTGGTCTGCTGAGGCTTTTTAGCTTTGTGATGACATTTTCAATGGGTTGGTCTTAAATAGTTTCTGATACATTAGTTTAAATTAGAGATAGTGTCTGAGGAAAGTATAGCAGTTGGGGTTCGACTTATGATCCTCCAGAATTTGGAGTCTACGTAGAGTCTCAAACTTTTTCTTTGTGCAGTAAAAACTTATTTAGAAGAATAAAGAATAATGAATAAAGAAGAATCTGCCAGGCATGGAAAGTACTACAATTAGCATTAAATAATAATACATTCTACTTACAGAGTGCTCCGAAGTTTTCAAACTGTTTGTATATATATTTTACTCTTTGAACCTTAAATCTGTGAAGAAAGTGGCAGCATTGGCAGCATTTGTAACTCCATTTAACAAGTGCAGACACTAAGACTCAGAGAAATGAAGTAACTACTTCATTTCTACTCCAGGGTTTCATGCCTTGACTTGTGCTGCTCCCTACGACCCCACCCCCACCCTGTTCCAGTGTTGTATTGTTGTTCAAAATATTTCCTACCTTTTTGATCCAATGAAATATGAGTGGACGTGACAGGTACCATTTTAGAGTAGAAGCTCTAAGAGCTGTTGCAGAGTTCTACCTCATTCTCTTTCTGTTTAACAGAAAACTGGCAATGTTCCAGAGCACTTTCTCCTTTAGCTGGGGTCCCAGATTGAAGATGACATGGAGTAGTGTGACAACTGACAGGTGATAGACATATGGCAGGAGTGAGAAATAATTGTGTAAATCACTGAAATTTTGGAGGGTGCAATTATCTGTTACCTTTGCATAAATTAGCCTAAGCCTACTGGTATACTTGCCTGAATTAGTTGATCCAAATCTTGTGGGTTCAAAAGGATGCCCTCAGCTCAGTGCTCATGACTGAATGCAATTTTTTATAGCAAGCATTGAGAGTTACTGGAAAAGGTACAAATTGTGTGGATCATTAATAGTCTGCTCTGGATCTGCTGCCAAGCACTAGATTTTTTTTGCAGGCCACAAGTTGTAAATTAGTACTTTTGTTATGGCCAAATCCAACACGGGAAATTGGATTTTCCAATTAAGATGATAATGAGGCAGTGTATGTCAAATCTTAATAAATTGTCTGGTATTCACTAAAAATTTAATGAACACAACAGTTATCATCATCATCATCATCATCATCATCATCATCATCATCAGCTTATATCATTAATGTTTATGAGGATCTTTTTGGCATTGAAAGTGTGTGTACTTATTGAGGCCAGTACTTTGAGAAAGTGGGCTTCACGCATCCACACCTTTTGGGAGAATTGGCAGGTAGCAGGGGAGAGTGTTCTGAGATGGAAGGACCAGATTTGATCAGTTCTTCCAGGAGCATGTTGTTGGCAGTGGGGCACCAAGCCTGATAATTTATAATGATGAACTCCTTCCTTCTTCAGAAAAACATGACTGGAACTGTATTTAAGGAAATGCGGAACAAAATGACCTGTATTGGTATGAATTTAATAATTTCATCTAACAAAACTACTGAAATGTCTGAAACACAGCAACTGATTAACAAGGTGATTTATAACTTCTTTTGCATGACTGGAGGTGACGATGAAGGGTCAGACTTTTGAGTGTGAAGAGGCTGGGAAAGTAGCA